TAATAATTTACTGAATACAATATGGGGAACTAAATAGTATATAATAGAGATAAAAATATAGACAATACTATAGTTTAAGTTTAAATGAAGGCATTTTGCAACATTCCAAATGCAAAAATGAATGTGTTTGGACGAAGCTCAGGAAAAAATTGTTTGCTTTGTGTGGTCAGGCACTGTCCATTTCCTTTTTTTTTTTTTTTTTTCCAAAGTATGCTCTGGGTGGAGAAGACACCTTCAACAATACACTTGAGTGTGTAAAATTTTGCTTTGGAGGAAGTGGGTTTAGATTTGCAAGACAAAAGGGACACACCCATTTGCATTAAGCTTTGTATTTTTAGAAACCCAGTCATATTTTTGAATGGTCATGGTTTATTCCCTTATTTTCCCCGAAGATGGGAGAAATAAGGATTTAAGTGTTTTACTTCCTGCTTATCATGACGTAAAAATCTTAATTGTGCGTCATAATCAGCAGGAAGTCACCTTTCATTGAAAAGTGAGACTACAAAGTTAGCTCCTCATTATTCAAGGGTGTGGGACCCACTAACCTACAGGCCTATTACAGATCAGTGGGTGGGACTTCACTTGCAGAAACTGAATCAATATCAGCCATATTGTTTGGAAGCTAAGCTAACAAGTTCTGTGGAGATAGGAATTATGACAAAGACGGAATAAACTAAACATGATATGGAAGAAGAGGATTTTGAAATTTTGCAGCTCGAATCCGATGTTCGTGGCTATCTTTACAAGCCACGATATAGTGAAGAGCAGCTGAGGCTGATGGAGGAACAGGAGGCGGCTGCCTGTCATGGTCGAGGAGCCACTGTCACTGGCTCGTTATGCGTTACGGACATAGATAGAGTCCGTCTGCTGCAGAGAATTTCAACAATGGCAATTTCTCCTGAACAAAATCTGTGAATCAGATGAGCACACAGACGTTTATGTTGTGATGTGAACCATCCTAGTTTCGTCTGACTGAACATCCAGGTATCATGCAGTATATAAGGAACAAATACAAAACTAAAGTATAATCCAGCAGCCCCTCATTGACAACTGCTGTCCACACACAACAGAAACAAAACACAACATAAAATCAGGCCTGTTTCTCTCTCGATCTGCTGTCGTCGCTCCTCATTTTATGCTTCCGTGAGAGATGCGAGACCGGTCGGTGCATCTCTGTCACATCCCTCTCCCCTCGCCCTGCTCGCCACACCCAACAAACTAGAAATTTAGTGTGAAATGAATTTCAAACTCTGGTGACAGCTAACGTTAGCCTTGTAGACGCAAGAGTGATTTGTCTAATGTTTGTGCTGTTCTGGATTAGTGGGAGTGGCTTGCGGAGATATGCAATGTGGTGCACTGTGGGAGTTGTTGTCTTACATACAAATGTGCCCTTCAGTTATTTTCTGTCTTTTCTCGGTCAAGAGGGCACCAAATTCAAAAGTTCTTTTACATTTCGACTACATATATGATCCACTTTTAATAAAGATTAAAGTTGAAATGGGTGAAATGCTCCTTTAATTGGCATTATTTATTATTATATAGTTATTATTGGTAATAAAAAATGTGCTTGAGAGGATTAGTGAATGAATTTGGAATGAAGATTTTCTATAGATTTGATCACGAACAAACGAGTCGCCGACGGCCGAGAGATATTTGGCATGCTAAATTTCTGGACCTGTCAGCGATTCAAAATCCTGCTGTGTGAAAAGTGTTCTGACTGAAAACTACATCGGTGATTACCGACAGCCAATGAGAGAGCAATATACAGAGCAGAGGAGTTATAGATTACATATCAACATAGCATTGTTTCAGAATTACTTTTCTATTTGGACCCAAGAATGGAAGAAAAATTAGTATACATTTAGCAGGAGCACCTGTGTCTGTTTGACGTTTCGTCTAAGCTGCGAGTCGAAAAAGAAAAAGTCTCAGGTGAGAACTCCGGTATTTTACATGTGATGTCGCATTGTTTCCTTGTCACATCTCGCATGTGTTTGTTGTGAAACATTTTGCGTGCAGTGTGCTAGACAGAGTTGTCAGCAATTCTTCCTATTGTAAAGTCATGCAGTGTGAAACCTTCTGTCGCCGATCCATCGTGCAGTGTGAACACAGCAGCGACTGCTGGCCAAGATTAGTCATGCAGTGTGAAAAGAGCTGCAGAATACTTTGAAAATCGTGCAGTCTGAACTCGGCATAAGCTGAATCATCTTTATGTTCCCTCCAGTTCTACCAGCAGGGGCTACCAGGCAAAACCTTGACCCCCAACAGACCGCAAAATGATGGCATATTTTTGTTTGCATCACCCTGGTCTGCTTAACAAAAACTAATTTTCCTTTGCTTTTAGGTTTTTGCAGAAAATGCTGTAAAGCTCTGTCTTACATGATCAACATGATATCTTCACAAATGAACACAACCTTTGAATTTTTAAGCCTAAAAATGATCACCAGAAGTATTAAAAAGCTAGACATAAGCTATAATGACAGTGGGTAAAAACATATGCTAATATAAAATACAATAATTAGTAATAAAAAAAAACTCCCCCCTTTGATTTTCCACATGCTACTATAAACTCTCACATGATTAAGCAAAAAACAGTTGAGAACCAATGTCTTCCCAGCTAACAGGGAACGTTCTCAGAACTTTGGCTAACATTCCCTAGAGGTTTGGTTAATGTTTTAAATAAAACATTTGAATGCAATGTTTAAAGAATGTTTTAAGGATGTTTTCTCATTTCAAATAATGTTCCTATAAGGTTAAATGTAAACTAAGATATAACATTTTCACTGTAACATTTTGAGGATGTTTTGGGAATGTTGCTGAGATAACAGATTAAACAATGTTCTCAATAAAACATTAGCACAATGTCTCATAATAACAGAGGAGGAACATTATCAAATCAACGTTCGCAAAATGTTTTGAGGATATTATTTAGGCCTGAGATGATGGAATGTTTTTATAAAACGTTCTTGTAATGTGACTTGTTAACAAAACTAGAACATTGTCACTGTAACATGTTGAGGATGTTTTGGGAATGTTGTTGAGATAACAGATATTACAATGTTCTCAATAAAGCATTGGTACAATGTCCCATAAAAACAAAGGAGGAACATTATCAAATCAACGCTCGCAAAATGTTATGAGGATATCATTGAGGCCTGAGATGACTGAATGTTTTTTATAAAACATTCTTGTAATGCGACGTGTTAAGAAAACTAGAACGTTTTAAATTTAACATTTTGAGGATGTTGATGAGGTAAAGGTTTGTAGAATGATCTCTTATAAAACATTGAAACAATGTTCCATAATAACAGAGGAGGAACATAATCAGGTTAACGTTCGCAAAATGTTTTGAGGATATTATTTAGTCCTGAGATGACGGAATGTTTTTTATAAAATGTTCTTGTAATGTGACTTGTTAACAAAACTAAAACATTTTCACTGTAACATGTTGAGGATGTTTTCGGAATGTTGTTGAGATAACAGATATTACAATGTTCTCAATAAAACATTGGTACAATGTCCCATAAAAACATAGAAATAACATTATCAAATCAACGTTCGCAAATGTTTTGAGGATATCATTGAGGCCTGAGTTGATGGAATGTTTTTTATAAAACGTTCTTGTAATGCGACGTGTTTAACAAAACTAGAACGTTTTAAATTGAACATTTTGAGGATGTTGATGAGGTAAAGGTTTGTAGAATGATCTTTTATAAAACATTGAAACAATGTTCCATAATAACAGAGGAGGAACATTATCAAATTAACGTTCGCAAAATGTTTTGAGGATATTATTTAGTCCTGAGATGATGGAATGTTTTTTATAAAATGTTCTTGTAATGTGACTTGTTAACAAAACTAGAACATTTTCACTGTAACATGTTGAGGATGTTTTCGGAATGTTGTTGAGATAACAGATATTACAATGTTCTCAATAAAACATTGGTACAATGTCCCATAAAAACGAAGGAGGAACATTATCAAATCAACTTTCGCAAAATGTTATGAGGATATCATTGAGGCCTGAGATGATGGAATGTTTTTTTATAAAATGTTTTTGTAATGTGATGTGTTTAACAAAAGTAGAACGTTTTAAATTTAACATTTTGAGGATGTTGATGAGGTAAAGGTTTGTAGAATGATCTTTTATAAAACATTGAAACAATGTCCCATAAAAACATAGGAATAACATTATCAAATCAACGTTCGTAAAATGTTTTGAGGATATTATTTAGTCCTGAGATGATGGAATGTTTTTTTATAAAATGTTCTTGTAATGTGACGTGTTAACAAAACTAGAACATTTTCACTGTAACATTGTTAAGGATGTTTTGGGAATGTTGTTGAGATAACAGATATTACAACGTTCTCAATAAAACACTGAAACAATGTTCCATAATAACAGAGGAGGAACATTATCAAATCAACGTTCGAAAAATGTTTTGAGGATATCATTGAGGCCTGAGATGATGGAATGTTTTTATAAAACATTCTTGTAATGTGACATGTTAACAAAACTATTAAATGTAACATTTTGAGGATGTTGATGAGGTAAAAGTTTATAGAATGATCTTTCATAAAATATTGAATGTAGGCCTACCATAATAACAGAGGAAAAACATAATCAAATTAACGTTCGCAAAATGTTTTGAGGATATTATTTAGTCCTGAGATGATAAAATGTTTTTAATAAAACATTCCTTTAAATTGACTTTTTAACAAACATTTTGCATGATACATTTTGAGGATTTTTTGTCGAAATGTTGTTATCTTTTATAAATCATTGGCACAATAACAAAGGAGGAACATTATCAAAGCAACATTCATCAAATGTTTTGTGGACATTTACCTGAGATAACAAAATCTCATAATATATGTTAACAAAAGCTCATAAAATTGTAAGGATATTTTAAGGAAGCTGTTTAGGTAACAGATTGTAGAATTATTTTAACCTATAGAATAATGGCATAATTTTCCATAATAAAAGAGGAACCTTGTCAAAACAGCATACATAAAGTGTTTTGAGGATATATTAGGCTACTCTGAACTGAACTGTTGCGACAAATGCGTTTACAAGAGATGAGAAGCTGATTGGAGGTCGCTGTAGATCGACGTTTAAAACCACCAATCACAGCGCGATGTTCCCTTGACGTAAGAACATTTGAACTCGACAAACAGCGCAAATAAAGCAACGTTGAACGTTTCTGTTGAAGAAATCGGCGCAGAATGTCCGTTGTCTAAATTGGCGACACATTGGCCCAAAACAACAGAACTCCTGGTCAACGGAACTCTTTCACAACTGTAAGTTTTTGTGTGTATTTTTCCGGTTTACATAGCTTTCTCTTATCCTTGATGTCTTTCAGTATTAGACCTAACTTTCTTAGAATTGTATGACAGTCGAAATAATCTGAGTGCATGCTACTTTTGAATAACAGCTAGATTTGTTTTAATGCAGACTCCAAACGGACTGTTTCAAGATGATTAACTTACCGATGACACAATAAAGTCTCCATTTACAACCAAGGTAGCCTACTATAATACCGGTATTGTGTTCTATGCATACGAATACTGTATTTTTACTTAAAAGTGATTGTTATTAATACATAATGTCTTTTGAAAGTAAAAGTTAATAATATTTCAGTAATTCATATAACGTTAGAGGTTAACGTTAATGAATTGGAAAGAGCGTTTCTCAAGGCTTCCTAGGTGTATATAACATTCTTCTTTCAGATGAATACTATCTATCTGAGTTATATTTAAAAAAATGTCCTGACTCTTCTGACTTTTAGAATGGCAGTGAATGGCCGGCCGTCTATCAAGGCGCATCCATCCATGATAAAAGTAATCCACCACATGACTCTGGCGGGGTTATAAAGCCCTTTTAAAGCGAAGCATTTGTGTAAGAAAAATATCAATTTTTAAAACTTTATTGGATTAAGATATTGGATACATGGATTAAGTATGTTTTAAATTACAGAAACAAAAAAGATACTCATAATTTATCATATTTATACTTTCAATAAATTAGTCTTTACATAATTTCTGATTGCTAATTAGGCTGGCTAATTTTGAAAGTTTTCAATGTCAATATTGCTTGTGATCTTAATGTATGTGTATTCTTTATGTTTACACTTTTGCATGATCTTCTTTTTTAGGCTATGAGGAAAAACTCTACCGTTCACACAGAGAACAGAGCTCAATGCTGCTAACTGGGGGAGCAGCTGGACAACTAGAAGAGAGAACAGTAGAACACTATTAATACAGATTCCTGGATTATTTTTCTGCAAGAACCAAAACAAGCAAAGACTGATGAGTGCTCTGAGCAAACACCGGAGTCAAGACGCATGAGTGACTTTACTGAGTTCTTCATGTAATGTTGGGCATTTACTGTACGCAGAACTTTTAATAATTTATGTGGATGCCATTTATAAACCTGTTAGATTTTAAAGTTTTAGTTTTGAGATTAATAAAATGTTATGCTTTAACAATGTTATAGCTAATCATTTTTGAGGGGTTTTAAGAGAACATTTTGGGAACAAAAATAAACTTCCGCTAAAAACTTTATAAGAAAGTTAGGGGATAATGTTTTAAAAATGTTATGATTAAACCTTTATAGAAGGTCATCACAAAACATTTTCAGAGTGTTCTTAGAGAATGTTATGCCATCTTTTAAGAGAACATTCTGGGAACAAAAAGAAAACTACCCGCTGAAAATGATATAAGAACGTCAAGGAATAATGTTCTAACAATGTTAGCATTTAACATATTTAGAATGTTTTTAGAGAATGTTTTTAGAACTTTTAAGAGAACATTCTGGGAACAAAAAGAAAACTACCCGCTGAAAATGTTATAAAAACATTAGGGAATAATGTTCTAACAATGTTAGCAATAAACATATTTAAAATGTTTTTAGACAATGTTATTAGAACTTTTAAGAGAACATTCTGGGAACAAAAAGAAAACTACCTGTTGAAAAATGTTATAAAAACATTAGGGAATAATGTTCTAACAATGTTAGCAATAAACATATTTAAAATGTTTTTAGAGAATGTTATTAGAACTTTTAAGAGAACATTCTGGGAACAAAAAGAAAACTACCCGCTGAAAATGTTATAAGAACGTCAGGAAATAATGTTCTAACAATGTTAGCATTTAACATATTTAGAATGTTTTTAGAGAATGTTATTAGAACTTTTAAGAGAACATTTTAGGAACCAAAAGAAAACTACCCGCTGAAAACATTATTAGAACACTGCATGGTAATGTTCTCAGAACATTTTTAGAACAAAAAAATCCTAGCTGGGTTTACCAAAAGTACATTTTCGTTTCGAAGACTGGTTTGTTTATCCCCTCCCCTTCTAGAGGCGAGCGCTTATTTCACTCTGCTCCGCTGCAGCTGCTCCAATGAAGGGCATCTTTCTCGACATCACGTAAACGCCGATTGGGGAGAGATCAGAGCGTCTTCCTCCGTTGTTCGCCTCAGATGGAGCAGGCTAAAAACACTCTGTTGATGATTAATTTATAGCTTCATCACACAGCAGGTTGCAGTAAGTCTGATAGTTTAACAAAACGGTCCGGTGTCCGGCCGTATGAATAAAGGACAGCATATATGTATACCCCCCTTTGTCGATGACAGGGACTCACAATTCAAACAGCATGAAATAATTCAATTGCACGAAGGAACTGAATCCGGGAAGACAGCATGCAGTTACAAATCTCCGGTCTTTTGCTCGTAATGGCTGTAGCCTATGCAACGATAGAGGGTGAGTAATGCAGACGATCTTTAAGAGTTTTCCTGCGTTTTCTCTGCATGACATTCCTCAGTTAAATGTCTTTTATACGAATTACTGAAATTATGTACGTGCTTTCGGTTCCATTGTGACTTCAAATGTTAATTTAGACAATTCATAAATGATCAGAATGAAGCAAGATCAGTCAAGCATATACTAGCCGTTTTATCTTCAACCCTGAATGATGCAAAATATATCTTTCCCATGCTTAATTTACGCTTATTGTTTGACTTCTAGCGCCCTCAATTGGGTCACTGAGTTATAGATGTTGTGTGTGACCTGTTCAAAGTCACACAGCCATACACTTTTAATGGTTTCTCATACCCACTCTTTATTTTGAACCAGCTGTGAAGCTTTAAAGAATAATTTTAACAGAATAATTTGTTTGTCTGGGTTTGGCAGAGTGTGTAATGTGAAGATGTGGGGTTCTTATCAATGTGGAGGCAATGAGTGCCTTCATCTGCAGCTTTAATCTGAAAATGGAGCTGCTGGACTGGATGTTCATTTATCGGTCAGCAGCACTCAGGAGAGAAATGCTTGACAACAGCTTTTCTCTTCCTCTCTCTGTTCATTTTTTTTATTTTATTTTTTAAACAAGAGAAATGTAAATCAAGGGGAAATTGCTGTCAAACTTGGCATTCGTTGATTCACAGATTTGCAGTTTTGCTCAAATGGAAATTGTGTAGGCCTATGCTGTTTCATATAACACAAGGCAAGGCCTGTAGGCAATATTACATTTGTAATCTTGCTGTTGCTCTGAATATAATCATGGGCATGACTCTGAGTTATAGTCTCACACTAATATCCATAACAGCTTGATTGAAAGTGTGATTTAACTTTTTTATACAACAGTTCACGTTATTACCAGTAGTTACCAGTTATTGTTGAACAACTTTTTAATTTTAACATAGCTGGTTATTTTAATTTGACCCCAAAGAAGTCAAAGTCAAAATGATTTGACTGTAGTGCCATGAAAATTATTTATTTTGACTCTTGTCTTTTGACTCAGCTCTAAAATGTACCCAAACTATCTTTTACCCTTAAAATCTTGCTTTGACCAGATGGCTTGCTGTAGGGGAGGAGAAGAGGTCGTCTGTTCACATTTGCAGCCATTGAGTAATGAGGTCAAGTCTGTGAACATTGCCCACATAAATATGCAAATAAATCCATTTCTTTCATGATTTTTATTTCATACTGTAATACTGTAATAAGGAATTATTTGCCCTGAAGAGTCTACACAATGTTGCAACAGATGAATGCCATTGTCCTTGGACTGAGAAGGCTTGGCTATTCATAGTGAGTGTGCATTTCTGCTCTTTTGTGTATGAGGTTCTATGAATTGAAGCTTGTCTTGAGTGCATTAAAGTGGCTTTGAAAGTCCTGATACAATGGACAAAAATCTTAATTCTCTAGAGAAAAAAAGAGGAACTCATTAACACAGAGAAATGGAAAAAAAAAGACTCAAGCATTACCATTTTCTCACAAAATGTTAACCTGTTCTTACACTGAAATAGGTTAAAAGGGCTAAAATAACATACACTTCAACATGAATGTACAAACACACTGTCTGTTTTTCACTCTTTCTCTCACCCTCCTCCACTTTCTTGTCTTTTGATTTACACATCCCTGTCCACTCCCTAGTTGGTTGAATCGTAAACCCTGGAGAAATGGCCTGCCCTGCATAGTCTTTATTTATGATGTCATTTCATATACTTGCTGTTCCAAGACCCACAATCATTAAGGTGATCGAGCACAGAATCGTGTGGCACTAATGATGGAGGTGCCAGGCATGCGTGCCTGTGCATGTATGCATATATATATATAAAAAATATTTAATTACACGAATAGTACACATATATACATATGTAACTCCTTAGAGTTTTACACTGGTCTACACTTTTGTTAGTTATATGCAGTACCATAGTTTCCCTGTTGGGGCCGCTATATGAACTGGTTGACTGAGTCGTAGATATTGAGAGAAGACTGTTTATTGCTGACACAAAGGGGGAAATCCACCAACCGGAAACTGAAGCCTCCCTGGGGGGGTCGCCATTGGTTATCAAGCCTTCACCTGCTGTTTGCATTCCATTGACTCCCATTCATTTTGGTGTCACTTTGACAGCAAGTAACTTTACATATGAGGCATTTAAAGACTCCATGTGTCCATTGTTTATTTCTAAAGAAACACGACAATGTATAAAAGGCTCCATTACCTTGTATCTTACGTTATGGCCCCATAGAATTAGTTTTTGTTAAAATAGGCTAATGATTGCGTCATAACCATGTGACTCTCTGTCGCACAGTAGAGAAATTACGGTATAGACAGGAGGAGAAGCTTGTGGGCAATCGGTTGGACGTGGAGGCATAAGGTCCGATAAAGTCGAGGGAGAAGCCCATAGAGAGTCATAAAGTTGATCCTGCTGCTAGCTCATGGACAGCTCCTACTCACGCTCTCAGTCTCTGCAAGATTCAGAAGGGAATGATTCAGATTCAACTGTAAGACAGATTACTCACGTCAAGCTCACTTTGAGCCTGCGCAGTACGCTTGGCCATCAGGAAGTGATTGACTAATTGACTTCACTTTTTTCCATTGAAGTCTATGGGATCGCTGTGTCCATTTCTTTTACTGTCGATGGCTGATCGATACTGATGTGTACGAGGTGATCAACCACTGCTTTTGAAGTGTCATTTTAATTTTATTCTTGGACCTTTCAGACACAACCTGGCCTAAATAATGCTTTTCTCCATTTCAGATAGGGTTGTGTTGGAACAAGACATCAATATATGAACTTGCATGTACCATTGTTAATTGTGAGTGTTCTTTTTTTTATCAACATGATAAAGAAATGTATTGAGCCGATAAAAGCAACTTTTAAAAGCTTTATAAAAATGTTAGTGAGAACCGGAACTGACAGTGTGTCGTTTCGATGAAAATAGATTGACTACCTCCTGGCTTAGGGTTAGGTTATCTCCATATCAACCCCACCACCTTGGGTGGAGTCTCCATTCACCAGGCCTCAGCCCCTGCAGGATCTCTACTCCCTGATTCAGGTAACCGGCGATGTAGACTGCTCTCAGGATCTGGTGTGCCAGTTTGTAAAGTAGGCACGACTGCAGACCTCCCTGATGATTTATGTAGAAGACAACCAATGTGTTAGTTGGCTGTCTGGACAAACACATTATGGCCCCTCAGGTCTGGGAGTAAGTGTTTCAACGGTAAAAAGACAGCCATCATCGTCAGGCAATTTATGTGCCAAAAAAGATGATGACACCTCCAAAGACCCTGTATTGACCCTCCATGATGGATAAAGCACACCTGACATTGAGCCTTAACCCCAATTTCTTCATGTGGGCTAGGACGACTTCTCCATGCCAAATCGCCATCTGCTACAGTTGAGCCTGAATAAAACTTTCGTCAATGTAATTCAAAACACAAATGCCCTGGAGTCACAGAGATGACAGAGCTGCAGAGTACCAGAATTGGGAAGAACCCAATACTGGTACTTTTCACTTCTGAAAGCAAACCTGAAGAACTTCCTGTGTTATGGAAGTATGAATACATGGAAGTATGCGGCCTTGATATTTATCGTGACAAATCAGTCCCCGGATCTGATTTGAGTCAAGTTTAGTTTCAATGTCAACATTTTGAACTGTACGTTTTTAGTGTACGATTTAACAGGCACCGCCACAGATCTAAAATTGGATGCAACCCCACAATTCCTTTTTGGAACTAGTTGTAAATCTTGGATTCTCTTTTGGGTGGAGGAACATGCTGTATAACCTCCTTACCCAAAAGAGCTCAATACCAGATTTCAATACCAGAGCCTGCTCAGGACTTACCACTGTGGATAGGACCCTGTTGAACCAAAGTGGACAAGAACAAAACCGAATGGTCTGGAGGACCCATTGTTACACATTTGGCAGAAGTTTCCTTGCTGCTAGATGGTCTACTAAGGGAACCAGCCTCTCAAGACTGGTCTTTGGTATATTTCGAGTAGTCAGCTCAGCACCCTGAAGCCGATGGCCAGCAGGGAACAACCGTCCTGGCTTCTCTAAAGTCCTCCTCGAAGGGCACCAGTCTCCCAGTGCTCCAACATCTTCAGGCGGACACTGAGACCTGAACTCCCTGGAAAGCACCAAGGTTGGCAGGGTTGAGGCCTGCCCTCAGAGGCCTGACAATACTGGCATCAGGGCCTCTTAGCCAAAGACTTCTTAGTGAGAATGACGGTCCTCAGATCCATCTTTCCCTTTGATGACGGCCAAGGTTGCTCTTGTCCCTGGACCTTAAAGGGGCACTTGGCAACTCTAGTCATTTCTTCACTGATTTTCACTTTTATTGTCACATGTTGTCTCATCAGCTCCCTCTACAACCGTGTGGCGTATATTTTCACAACACCGTCATAAACAAACTCACTTGCAGCACCTTTCTACCGCAGCTCATGTGCTTTTGTTATTATCGGAGCCGGCCTACTTTATAGTGTGGTTAATACATCATACACTGTATTTCATATATTTATGTTGAATTTCTATCAAGCAGTTTGTGTTTCTCACTCGTTCTCGCTTCTCACAAGACTTCTATTTCCAACTTACTGGGACGTTAGCCCCCATGTTGCAAGGTTGGTTTTCCACTCAGGGACGCTGGGGGGAGCAGGGAAGGTCACCATTCTCTCCAGAACGGGTTATTAAACAATTCAAATGATTTCTAAATGGTTTTATTAAGTTGAAGTAGTTGCCAAGTGCCCTTTTAAGGGACAATGCCATATCAAGGGACAGATATCTCACATGCGTCAGTTCCATCTTATTAGGCATTGCCCCATACCTGTGTTATTTCAACCCCATTCTGTTTGAATAATTTGTAATTTGTTGGCTGAAAACACAGGCATACAGACAAAAACAGCCAAAAGACCAGCTTAATTCAGTGAAACAATAATTTCAGGGACATTGCAAGTGTTATGGAATGCAAAGTCAGGAGAGGAAGATGTCAGGTGAACAGTGAGTTTTATTGAAAACAACAGAGGGTGAGGATGATAGTTGATACCGTGGGTGACTAGGCAGATGAACAATGGTGGGAATGGAGACACTGTAGAAGGACGAGACACCAGAGATAGACAGATTGCTGGAGACATAGAGACTCCACTATATGTAAACGAGATCAGACCATGAGCTGAGGTGAAGAGTGTGCATTCATAGAGGTGATGATGAGGTGAAGGTGTGAGTGATCATGAACCAAGGGTGAAATGGGAACCAAGGAGAGTGATGAGAGATGTAATGCAGATCTGTGAAACCATCTAGATTTCCAGCTTCCAGTTCATCTAGATTTAAACCACATGTACACCATCCTACACTGACTACAAACACATTTCCTATCAAGTATGGCTATAAAAGATAGAGCAAATCAGAGTAGGTATGGGGCAGAGAAACATGTGCAGCCTCCCAAATAAAAAAATCTAAATGAAAAAATGCCCATCCTTGTGGATATGTGTGTAGTTGTAGAGTTCTCCTGACGCTCTCTGTAGTGCTCTTGTCTGAGGTCATCATATCATGGCAATGGTTGTGTCAGCAAAAGGAACTCTGAGGAGCCTGGGCCAGCTGTCACTTCATGACTCTGTGCTCATCTAACACTTGTGTGAGAGTGTATCTGAATTTAAAGTGTCATTCATCAAGACGGCATATCAAATGTGGACCTACTTTCTACATAACCAGACAGATATGTTTATGTATAGGCCTATACAGCATTGAAAATTAGCATGGCAGCTTTAGATTATACTATACCTTATCAGCACATGCCACTTCAGGCTTTAGTATCATTAGTTTTTTCTAAATTGATCTCATATTGTTCCACCCTTTTTCTAGCTCCTGAAGAGTTTGTCTCATTGGCTGAGATGGAGGACACTTTGTTGCGGAATCTTTTTCGGGGCTATCAGAAGTGGGTGAGACCTGTCCTTCACGCCAACGACACGATTACCGTTCGCTTTGGTTTGAAGATTTCCCAACTGGTGGATGTGGTGAGACACACACATATTCACTATAAAATCTGATCTTCAACTAAGTCACAAAATGAATGAACAAATAGCACACACATAGGGATTGATGATAACAATATCATATCGAGATTGCGTTCAAATGTTTCTTACCCCGATAACAATTATAAGCCTTGGACATTTTTACTCGATGTGGATTAACAGCCTATCATGTAGTACAAATGAACACAACTCCCAGTCTGTGCATGCCACTAAAGAGTAATTTTTGTGTCTCTATGTGAATGAACGGTGCGGTTTAGTCTGATACGTAAACTCACACACTTGTGACGACCAGTGTTTTCAGCGTCTGCCATCTCAATATATGAGGACAGAGGACGTGAACATATGAACTTTATCTCCAGAGCTGCTTTGAGAGTAACTTCACAAGATTTTCACAATTTAATTTGAGAAAAATGGCCATCGAATACAATAAGATCTTCATGACAAACCATCAAAATAAAACCTCAAGAAATGATGACAGAAATAAATCAAAATTGTATGTAGAAATATCATTTTTTCATCTATCTTGTAAATTTGCACACAAAAAAAAAATCTGTTTTGTTGTTAATTAATTGTTATCTTTTCATTTGATTACATTTTAAAAGCTTGATTAAATTGTTAAAGTTTAAATAAGTTTATATTAAATTATAAATCATAGAATGACAAAAATGACTTAAAATCAGTTGTCATCTTGGAATGGCATTCCCCTGTTTTTTTTTGTTGTTGTTTTTTTTCTGATTTTAATATTCACTCTGAAATATGACATAATGCTGAAGTCAGTCGCAAATTTAATTGGACCAGCCTGGTCTCTCTCTCAACTGATTAGTTTTGGCAGGATATGAGAGTGGCTACTCAGATCATAGTTCTAGACTATATTTACTCAACACATCATCATGGCAACCAGCTGTATCACATTTTGCACAATTTTCCTCTTCTCTCTTTTGACCCATGGCCATGTATTGGTCCTGATTAGGCTAAGCATTCAAGAACCTGATTGAAAATGCTAGTGTGTGTGTAATATTACTAGATGTACTTTTATCATGCCATTCCACAACACAATAGTTCCATAAATGCTTTACCAATTTGGCAGTTTGAAGATCATTTGTGTCAGTGGTTATGTAGAACCCTTTTTAAAAAGAATCCAGGAGACACTGTTTGGTTTGTGGTCGAATATAAATAGATGTTAAAATGAATCTATTAATACTATTTATATAATAGATTATACAGTAGTATTAAAGTATTTAATCATTTATTCACCTTCAAAGAGGGTGGTACCATGGAGAAAAAAAACACAGATCACTATCCCTTTAATATATCATTTAATATTGTTTGTTTCAACATTACATTGATTATAACAGAGTAGGCTATACTTCTGCTGTACATAATAATTTAAAAAAGACTGATACAGAGAACTGTATTTTAAATCAAAAACACAATGCAGCAGTAATTTGGAAAATTACAGTAGGTTTCTATTAGGGCGACTATCGTCAAATATGATTGACAATTAGCCTACAGTTTGGATTTTATTGGTTCTGTTCTGGGCAGGAGCTGCAATAACACCCTTTGGGTAAACAGAACAGAACCAAAATGATTGTATTGCAGATATCATTAATGTCAATATTTTAATGTACAGCATTATTCGAGAGTTTAGTCTGATTCAAGGGGAATCAGGATGCCAAATCCTGACTGGACGAGAGGAGGCGGATGGAGGAGGGTATTTCGCTCCTAAGAAGTACGTCCCTTTAAGCTACTCCCAGTTGCCCACGTTAAATAAAATGTTTAATCTTTTACCTATGAAATATTAATTGCCTTTGCATACTTCACAGGAATCAGAGAAAGGCAAACACCGTTCTTGGTGATCATTTTATCTTTATTGTAGAGACAAGTTGTTAATACAGTTACATTTGATTACTTATTCACAATTATTTCTATTTTTTTTTTTTTTAAAACTGCATTTACACTGTCACGCGTTCACAAAACAATTCATGCTGAAATGTGCTATATAAATAGTTTGATTGAAATGGATGGACATGGACCTAATGGACCTAAACTGCCTAAGAATCATATTGTCTATACTACTATATATAGTACAATATGTACTACTATATGTCCCTCTTATTTTATCATCATGACTAGGTAGTATAAGTGTCTGAACGCTTATTTTGATATATAAATGTGGTTAATGTTTTAGATTTCTAACATGCATTGGATGTCATTCCTTTTTGTTGTTTCATTAGGGGAGGGAATGTGACACAGAATGTGAACAGACTAAATTGTACTACCATGAACAATTCAAACTTATTATGATCAGTACCAATTTGTTTCTGTCATTATTCTTTAATTGAAAACTTGGAAAGACGTGGCTTAACGAAGATCGAGAATTTCTCACTGGCAGTTATAACTTTATTGTGGAGTTCTTATGTGCTCAACTTGTGAATTTGATCATATCGCAAAGATGGACAGAAATAGATTTTTGGGCTAACTATCCCTTTAAAACCTTTCATTCACATAGAGTAGAACAATGGGTGTTAAAAATGTGGCCTATGCAATCAGGACGTCGGAAGCTGTCCAAATCTACAGTAGTGTTTACATCCACATCACACCCTGCCAACTAAGATGCCTTAATCTGATTGTTTTTTGTTTGTTTTTGTTTTTGTTTTTTGAAGACTGCTTATGATATCCCACAATCATGTCCGTGTTTTTCAGTGGTTTGTGGAAATAATAAAAATGGCACCCAATAAAGAATTTAATTATTAAAATAGTTTATAAATGTTCTTTTTTTATTTTTATTTTTTAGAAATAAACAATAGTACATATTTTAGCCACTAAATATTTGCTTAATTATGTCTAAATCTCACTATAGACATGACCAGGATGATCAGCGTGACAGTATGGGGCTTTGTTGGAAGCTTGTTTCTGAGCAGAGAGGCAGCAAGGTTTTGTTTTTTTTTTTTTTGTTTTTTTAGGATTCAGGCATACCCTATATATATATATATATATATATATATATATATATTTTGTCCTGCAGAGCCACCTGATGGTCATATCCTGTAATCAACATGATATTCAGCACTCACCTTGTTGTCATGATTCGACAGTGTAAATTTTCTGGCACTGAACACTGTGGGAACAATTGATTTTCACACCACATCACACGTATTATTTATACACCGTTCTGTCTCAGTATATTGGTTCCTAATCAGGGTCTGAATTTTAATTTAATGAAACAAAAGACATAAAATACTATCTTTTTAGCTGCATATATAAATAGCACAGCTGAGTTAATCCTCTGCATAACACAAGTAGGTCAATGGTGAGAGAATTTGAGGCTTTGCGAGAAATAGTGCATTTGGGTTAATTTAAAACATGTTATGTGGTTCAAGCTCATTTTTCGTGCAAACGCATTTTTGCAACTATCGAAATATTTTCACCTTTCATTGTGTATTTTCTTCATTTCTCTCTTCAGGATGAAAAGAATCAACTAATGACTACAAATGTCTGGTTGTGGCAGGTAACCCAAAGAAATGTGGCTTTCATTTTTAAGTATGTCGCAAAATACCTTCTTGATTCATGCATGGTCTCTTTCTTGTAGGAGTGGACAGACTCTAAGCTTCGTTGGAATCCAGAAGATTATGGTGGAATCACCTCCATCAGAGTGCCCTCAGAAACTATCTGGCTACCAGATATCGTTCTTTATGAGAAGTAAGTCTTTTTATGACCTCTTATACGTATATAATGTCATACAGGTGCTCAAATTAGAAAATGCAGTTGTGTCTTTACTTCATCTAATGTTAATCGGAGTACAATTGGCCAGTTTTTGTGTGCTTGTTCTAGATTCACAATTTGTATTTAAAGCACCCTGTCTAATGATCTATAACATATTTTAAAAAAAATGCAAATACTTATTAGAATAGAAATTGAAGAAAAAAAACATTTATTAATTAAAATATTTTTTAACTGCTCCATCTGACAGCATTATTGTTCTTTCCAAATACATGCACAATAATATAATTTACCAACCCAGCAGCATACAGTAGCAATGTAAATCACAAAATCTTTGCCATATTGGTAACATTTTACAATATGTATAATATATAATAGTAAATTACTTACAAATATTTTGGAAACTATTATTTTTTTAATTCATGGTTTAGTCCCTATAGTGAGTTCTTCATTCTGTTACTGAAATTAACAAAATGATTATTGTTTAATTAGCTCACATTAAGAGTTTTATAATGTTTTTTATGCTTTGTTAACTACTTATTAACTGTAAATAGTTCTCACTTTAGATTAAGTCACGGAAAATCTAAAACGATTTCATTAAGTGCTTTAAACCAACCTTTATTGGACATTAATTGCATTAGTATCAAGTGCTCCTTAAAATGTTTGCAAATACGTTAAGCTATTGTTGGATAACTTACAGTTAAGACCCAGGACCAGATATAATGAAGACCAGGGTCCGGTTCCTCGATAACGCTAACTCTTTGCACGCTAAGAAGACTCAAAGAGATATATCTTACCAAAGTTGTTTGTTCCTAAGTGTGTTCCTCAGTTGGCATCGATTGCTCAGGAATCGATTTTCCACTTCACGCAAAGGTGCATTACGGCGTTAAGAAAGACAACATGTTCTATGCAAATTATTCCAGTAACATTTTTTTTATCATAGTTATCAGTAAATATTAATTAAATTTTCAAATTGTCAGTAATGTGTTCACACAATATGTTGTGGCGGGTAGACGAACGTATCCCTCGCTAATCATCCACCCTCGTTATCCCGTTGTGCCGCTTCTTGACATGGGTTTAACAACTTCTAAAAATTATGTAATACACTTTTATATTAATGGTAGCACTTTACAATTAGAATTGATTGGCAAGCAGCTGCAGTTAGTTCTGTTTAATGCGGTATTGATTGCCATTGGTTAAGGAATAGGTTAAGAACTACTTAGCGATAAGAACGTTTTGGGGAACTGGGCCCTGGAGTCTGTGTTGCCATCAACTGAAGCAAATTTTACTGAACAATAGTTTGCTGCTTGGTAAATGGTAAAATGGTAAATGGCAACTGCATTTATATAGCTCTTTCATAGACCTAATGGCCACCAAAGCGCTTTACATATTGCCTCACATTCACCCATTCACACACTCATTCATGCACCGACGGTGCTTCATCAGCATAAGATTTTAGGTCAACACAGGTCACTAAACTACGTCATCAGGTCAGGTTGAATGATTCTGATTGGTTAGGACATACAGTAGATAAACATCCACATATGGGCTGTTAGTCAGAATCATATCTCCATTGATTATCTGGATGACACCCAGGATCCCTGAGGACACACATCTGAGTTTCTAGGCTCCAGTTTGTCTGTCAGATGGTCATTTTATCTCCCCTGGGGGCCAGTTGCTCACCTCACTAACATCAGGTCCTATAACAGAAGGGTACTGACAAACACGCACACCCACAGACACACAGCTTCTTCAAGGTTAAAGTTGGTCGAGCTCTTGCTCCGATCAGGAAACTTTCCTAAAACATACTGAGATGTACTTTCTCTCTGTAAGAGGTTCAGACAAAATGTGTCATTATTCTCAAGTGATCGAAGATGAAAAGTTAATTAAATGCTTGAATTAAGAATTGGTCCTGTATGAGACAGGCCTATGTGACCCCTAAGCTGTCAGAGTCAGCTAGAACTGTAATTTTTTTTATTTCTTTTTATTTATTTATTTTTTTAACAAATGTTGGGTGCTACTCTCAAAAACAAATCACTTAAAGGATATGTATTGAAGTGACAGTGGATTCCAGAATCCAACCTCTTCACTATGTTCCTGCCTTAACCTTGTACCTTAAGGGATGTATTTTATGTATTGTATGCTGTCAATACACTATGTTTTTGTGTTTATGCGAATGTAAGTAAATATGTGTGGTAGAAAAAAATACAAACAAATACTCATGAGATCACATTGTTAAAATACATCAGTTGGGGTTAGAGGATAGAATATACTATTGTTTGTATAATATAAAAATCTATATTTCAATGGAAAGTCCCTATAAAGTGTGTCAACTAATGTGTGTGTGCTTAATATATTTGTAAACATTTTAAGAAACACTTAATATGAATGCAATTAATGTCCAATAAAGGTTAATTAATGACATTTTCTGACCTAATCTAAAATGAGAACTATTTACTCCTGATAACAATTTAAACAACTGGTTTAAAATACTAAACATTTATATTAGGTTAATAAGTTATAAAACATAAATAAAATATTTAAAACATTATTTTTATGAGCTAATTAAACAATAATAATTTTGGTAATTACAGTGACAATGAATGAAGAGCACACTATTTGTATATATGCTATTAATATATTAATAATGTAGAGACTACATATAAATATTAATAAGCTATAAATGAATAGTATGCAAATGATTTGTACATACTTTATTACTGTATACTTAATATAAAGTATTACTGCAATGTCCAGAACCTCTGAGCAGTATTGACATCTGCATGGGCAATAACTACTCACAATTTCATTAAAAAAAAAAAAATGAAATATAGTTGCTAATATCATCTCTCTCTCTCCCTCTCCATCTCTCTTAGTGCTGATGGCCGGTTTGAAGGGTCTCTAATGACCAAAGCCATTGTAAGGTCTAATGGTACCATCATGTGGACTCCTCCTGCCAGCTATAAATCCGCCTGCACCATGGATGTCACCTTTTTCCCCTTCGACAGGCAGAACTGCTCGATGAAGTTTGGATCATGGACATACGATGGCACTATGGTGGACCTGACCCTGGTAGATGCATATGTAGACCGTAAAGACTTCTTTGACAATGGCGAATGGGAAATACTGAACGCCACCGGCCAGAGGGGCAGTCGGCATGACGGCATTTACTCCTATCCCTTCGTCACATATTCGTTCATAATGAAGCGTCTCCCTCTCTTTTACACACTCTTTCTCATCATCCCATGTCTCGGCCTGTCCTTTCTTACCGTGCTGGTCTTCTACCTTCCCTCGGATGAAGGAGAAAAGCTTTCCCTTTCCACATCGGTCCTTGTGTCTCTCACTGTGTTTCTTCTCGTCATTGAAGAGATCATCCCATCTTCCTCGAAAGTCATTCCTCTGATAGGAGAATATCTGCTTTTTATCATGATCTTTGTCACATTCTCAATCATTGTAACTGTCTTTGTCATCAATGTCCATCACCGTTCTTCTGCCACATACCATCCCATGGCACCATGGGTTAAGAGTCTTTTCCTCCAGAGATTACCCAGACTGCTCTGCATGAGGGGGCACTCTGATCGGTATCAGTACCCAGACATCGAGCTAAGGAGCCCAGAGCCAAAACGAGGGATGAAAAAAGGGCAACAGAAGAGTGCCGGAGGTGGACGAGGGGGGTTAAAGGAAGATGATAACCAGGACTGGATTGCCCTGTTGGAGAAAGCCACTAACTCGGTGCACTACATTTCCAGACACATCAAGAAGGAACACTTCATCAGAGAGGTACCACTCAATCAATTATAAAATTATTGATAATAGGTGCTTGCTTTATACTATATATTTAATGTATTTGTGTCTGTTTGTTTCTCAGGTCGTTCAGGACTGGAAGTTTGTGGCTCAGGTGTTGGACCGGATCTTCCTATGGGCCTTTCTCACAGTTTCTGTGCTTGGGACAATCCTCATCTTCTACCCGGCTGTGCGGGTTTACCTTAGCTCATCGTAAAAACCCACTAGATTTCAGCCTACCTAATCTCTACCTATCTCTTTTTCTCAAAACAGCATTCTTATGACCCCTTTGAAATATATGTAGTTCCCACAACACTATAGTAATCCTTCTAAAAGTCCTTTTCTGATCTAGCCACATCTGTAATCCGCCACAAATATAGCTAATCTCTCTCTTCCTCCTAGATCCTGTGTTAAAATGGTTAGACTGAAAATAGCAAAACTCAGCTGAAATGAAGTGTAGGAATCTTCTTCCCATTAAACATATAGCTAAGAGGCTGCTGATACAGTTGGAGAGGTTTGGATCTGTGTATAATCACTTTGAGGGGATCATGGTTTTAATAATCTTCAATAAATTGACTTTATTGTGATGTATGAGGTAAAACCACATGTCTTAGGCTTCTCATTTTGCTTTAAGATTTATTTATTTATAAAATTATTTCTAAAAAATGATTTACCAAATATTTTTACAGGTTTAATGTGTCCACTGTCCACTATGTACTGTAACAAACCTAATTGTATTTCTTTTTTAATTTAATTCACCACTTTTGGAATGAAAATGCAATCTGTATGGAGTTTAATCAGAAATGATCACCATGCAGGCTTAAACATATATTAATCTTATTGCTCAGCTCACATTTTGTATTAGGTGTCTTTAACTACTATACTTACATCATCATCATCATCATCATCAATAATAATAATAAATGCTAGGTACCATATAGTTTTTGTGTTCATGTTGTACAATGCAAACACATAAAGGGTAGGGTTAGGGTAAGGTTTCAAGGTATGGTTAGGTTTAAGGGCTGGGTCAACAATGTTATTCTAAATGTAATTACAGAAAATTAATTACATGCAGGAGTTTTAAATACGATGTATGTGCACAATAAATGCATTGTAACAATTGATTAATTTAAATGTTAGTATATATTTGTTAAAGACACTTCATATAAAATGGGCCCCTTTAACTAATAATATAAAGTTTCTCTGGATGATAGCTTTTTTTAGTAAGTATAATCAATTATAATAGGATCTCTCCTATGGGCACATGTGATATTTACTGTACAGTCTATAATCTATTTTCCTAGTTTTTAGTACTGTTAAATGCAGTAGTATCATGCCTTTGGATGGCATTATGCATATGTACAATTTATTCAGATGAGGCCATGCATAATACAAAACGCACGTGTATGTATGTACAATATTCCACCATTTGGGATTTTTAAAAATAACTTTGCACTGGCACATATGGTTTTATAAATTTTAATATCTGTCATTTGCACTCACGCTTACTTTTTAGGATAAAGTCTAGGCCAAGTGTTACACACAAGGCCCTAGATCTTTATGGATACTGTTGCTGATCCAATGGTAAGAGCATTAACTGATCACAACTACTTGTTTATTAGCAAGGACTGGATTATGACACCCTCCTTTGTTTCTGGTCATTGTTGCTGTACCATAGTCTTATGTTGTTTGCATATTTAATTGTACAAAAACTATTAATAAATAATCTTGTCAGTGACCTGTTTTCTAATGTTTTATACTCCACAGTGTCACATCAGAAACATTTCTCTGGTTCAGAATAGCCTGGCATTTTGCATTGTAAACTGAGTAAATCAGTGTTATTTATTATTTATCCCTTAAATCAGTGTTTCCCAACCCTGGACCTGGAGGCAAACCAACACTACACATTTCCAGACTCTTCCTAATCAAGCACAACTTATTCAGCTCATTAGTAGGGACTCCATGACTGGAAATGTACCCTTCAGGAAGAGGGTGGGGACACAATTCCTTAAAGGTGGGGTAGGCGAATTTGTTCCAGAATCAATTTAGCCAGCAGCCATATCACCCTGTAGCCCAAGACTGGTTGCCCATTAAAGCTAAGCAGGGCTGAGCCTGGTTAGTACCTGGATGGGAGACCTTCTGAGAAAGCCAGGTTGCTGCTGGTAGAGGTGTTAGTGTGGCCAGCAGGGGGTGCTCACCCTGTGGTCTGTGTGGGTCCTAACACCCCAGTAGAGTAATGGGGACACTATGCTGTCAAAAAGAGCACCGTCCTTCGGATGAGACGTTAAACCGAGGTCCTGACTCTCTGTGGTCATAAAAAATCCCAGGATGTCTTTCGTAAGAGCAGGGGTGTAACCCCGGCATCCTGGCCAAATTTGCCCAGTAGCCTCTGTCCATCATGGCCTCCTAATCATCCCCATATACACCAATTGGCTTCATCACTGTCTCCTCTCCACCAGTAAGCTGGTGTGTGGTGAGCGTTCTGGCGCAATATGGCTGCCGTCGCATCATCCAGGTGGATGCTGCACATTGGTGGTGGTTGAGGAGATCCCCCCTTCTATGTGAAGCGCTTTGAGTGTCCAGAAAAGCGCTATATAAATGTAACGAATTATTATTATTATTATTATTATTAATCATGTTATGCTGATTGAAAGTCTCTTCACATCCTGATAGCATTCACTAAGTTAATTGGTCGAAATGTATTATGTATATATCTTCTTTGGAAGATGTAGGACCATAAATTTCCATCCAATCCTGTCTGTCAGCATATGGATTTTTATACCTCCGCACTCCCTGCTCCTGCAGACATCACACGAAAATATCCTCTAACCTTTAAATTAATTAAAATAATGCTTAAAGACCAAACTTGTTTTTTTTTTTTGTTTTTTTTGAAGACTAGAAGAACAATGTTCAGTTTACATTTGTGAGAAAGTAGATATTGGCAACTTGTATATTGTTAGTTCCTCTCAAAAGCATCCATTGCTTTTCTATTTATTATTCTGTCATATAAAAGGCAACATGAAATCTTACCGTACATGATTTATCAATACACTCTGCCTCTCCAATGACTTTTATTAGTGGCTTTCAAAATATAATTACAGAAGTAAAATGAATGCATGTTGCCTTTCGTATTCATGAAGACTGTGTATTTAATGTCTACATTACTGAATGCTTCTTTTGTATTGCATCAAAGAGAAATTATTCAAATGCACTGCAAGGTGTTGTTGACAGTGTGTTTTGGCTTCTTGATAGACAGGCCTCGCTTGGGAGTGATATTAACAGAGCATGAAAAATTTCCATTTCTAGAGCATGCGAATTCCTCCGATATGTTTTCAAGTCACATCTGGGCTCTGTTATCATTGAGCAACCGATAATGTGTAAATGGTAGATTGAATTTCTCGCGGTTGTGCCATCCCTTTCTTTTCAAAGCATGAGCTGTAGGTGCAATCTCTTGAGGCACGTGCTCTTGCAAATCACACAAGCTGTTCTCTATCAAAATTCATTGTTGACTATTATCAATATCATTTTAATGCATGTCATAAAAATACTTTCTTTTATGTTCAAGCCAACATAGGCTTATATAGCCAACACAGCATACTATATGTTGTCCTAACATCTAAAATTATGGTTGAAACATGGTTTTCTAGGGGAGATGAGTGGCCATATACTGAATGTAACTGAACCAAAAATAAACTTCATGATGGGATAAGGGAAATTTAGAGAGAGATGTGTGCCTGCAACAGATATATGCAAAGGTAGGGGCATCCCAGAAAGACATCCCATATACTGAGATGTTGAAGTCGGCCAAAATAGAACATGATAATATTCAAATCATAGTAGATTAGTTTATATTTTAAGTATTTATTTACCATTATAAATACAGCTCTTCTGGATATATTATTTGAATAAAGCATAATGCAATTCTAGACAATGCTACAACATTATTCACATAAAATAATTTAATTACAAAATGCTTAATGGACCTGTCCTTTAATTGAAACAAACCTAAAACAGACAGGCTCAGGTTTTAAATAGTCTGACTTCATCTCTTCCTGTATAATTCAGTAGAGGAGATGATGTGGTGTGACAGCACTGGTGCTTGTGCAGTCTCAAGTCAGAATCCTAACAAGTTTTCCTAACCTACTTTACAATCCACTCTCAAAGCTTTATTTCTTATTTTACAACGGTCAGAATGAATCTGTTATGGATTAATATGAATGCTTGAGTCCTTAGAAAAACAGTGTTTTGCACTAAATTTAAAGTCTAAATATCTAAATGGATTGGTTGTTTGTGGGGTGAGATGAGAAAACAATGTACACATTTAAATAATTTAGCATGTGCAGGATGATGATGCATCAGCTAAAGTGTTATTAAGGGACACAAATAGAAACATTTGCTAATTTAGTTGTCACCGGCTAAACACATACACAGTTGAAAGAAAAAAAAAAAGATTCAACACACACACACACACAATTAAATCTGATTCATGTCACACAGTTAGCCTATATATTTTAATGAATAGTGTGATCTAACTAATGGAATTCCTGAATAATAACCCAGGAATTACTGAATAATAACCCAGTAAATTACAATAAATATTACCAGGCTATTTAAAATTTTAAGACTAGTAACTACATGCCATTTGGGACCTTTTGTCCCAATTTCTTTCCCCCAAGAGGTGTCTAGTTATATATTTTCACTATATACTGTATAAAAGTTAACATTGCAAAATGAGTAATAAATAAAAAAAGAAGCATGGCTTGCCAACAGATGGCAGCATAATGACATTAGATGGAAATGACATGCATCTTCATGACCAACATTACTTGTGAAAGAGCGTTGACTTACACAATACACTTATCTGCTAAAAAGAATTTAAAAATAAATGTTTTTATTGAGTTAAAACTACACTACAACTCTCTCAGAATGGGTTAAAGCTAATTTTCTGTTCTCATTCCTGCCCTTGATGTGTTCTAGTGTTATCAATCAGTTAACTGATATTTGCAAGTTAATGTTCATTTATAATATGCAATGTCTTTAGGTTTGCATTTTCAGGAAATCAAAATCAAATTAATTCCCATGTATCTATATTCTGATCATTTATACAGGCACAACTGTTTCATATGGTTAAACAATAGTTTGTTGAAACTTCACATCATGTCTAAATCAGGTAGGCTACCATGGTAACATGTTAGTTAAAAAGGACCTAGTGTCATCTGCTAAAAGTAGCATGCACACACACACTCTCAACTGTGCTACATCTTTATCTCTATAAAAATTAAATATGAAGAGTTCAGATGCAAAAGCCTCTAAGTGCCATTTGAAATTTTCTTCTAAAATGATCATTTTTATCAAGCTTGTATATTTAAGTTCAGTAATTTCACTTAAATGGCAATGAAGATTACCTATTAATTGTTATTTAAGTGAAATTACTGCACTTAAATATACAAGCTTGATAAAAATAGTCATTTTAGAAGAAAATTTCAAATGGCATTTAGAGGCTTTTGCATCTGAACTCTTCATATGTTCTGGGGTGCATGATGCATCGTTCATAAAGTAAGCTTTTTACAAAGTGAAATCAAGAAAGCTACTATTTTTTCCTCATCTCTTCTTTTTGAGTTGATTGAGGGTCAGTCACAGTTTGATTCTGTTTCTCTCTTTTTTCTCTGTTTTTTCCTTGCCTTCTGCCCTCCAATCTCTGGAGCTTTTATTCCAATCTTCTGGAGTCATATTCTTTCTCATATGATGAAAGGTGAAAGAGTAAAAGATAGGGAGAAAGATATGGAAGCCTTGATAGTGTGCCCAGGGTCGTCTGAGGGGTTATAAGGGTAATCCAATATAAATCTATGCCTGGAATGCTTCTGTCACATCACATCTCTCTCTCTCTCTCTCTCTCTCTCTCTCTCTCTCTCTCTCTCTCTCTCTCTCTCTCTCTCTCTCTCTCTCGATAGCAATCGGAAATGAATTTTTTTTCATAAACACAAATTATTTTGACTGCATCAAGGATGAATAAGTCTATTGTTGTCTTTCTGAAAGAGTTAACTATGGTGGATCATTTAGTTGAGTGTGGTGTATCAGTGAGAGATAATTTTATGCCTGAACTGCCGCTGTCCAACTTATCAAAAAAGGTGATTCTTTCAAATATCGAAGTGCTGCTGGTGATCGTTTAAAACAGGATGGTACAGAAGCTGTTGGTGTTGGAATCTGAGGGAGCGACAAATATGATGTATTCACAAATACTAGATAACTTGTCGCACAATTCTAGAGATGGTTTGGAAAATGGTGGATTCTCTCGTTGTGATTCTGATAGTGAATACTCATATAGTTGCGGAGGCAGCATTGATGCAACCTCTCAGGGAAGTTTCACTACTAAAACAAATGCATCCTACGGTTGGACAGTTTGAATCATTTTCTTGATTCTACAAAAAAAATATTCGTGTGCCATTGCCTTGAGAAAAGCTACTTTAGAAGAACTTGATAAACCGAAACGTTATCGACTTAAGAAATTCATGTGTGATGTCAGAAAAAGAATGAAGACTCGATCTATGAAACGCTATTAATGCCGCATTCCAGGCAACCTGTAAACCTGGTTTACCAACCTGTTACCCGTGAAAGTCAGCCTGGTCTCATTGTTAATACGTAGCTATTTTACGTTTTTGCAAAGATAGAAAACGTACTTTTTAGTACGTTTGGATAGATGCTGAAACGTATAATATAGACGTATCTGCAACATTTAAA